GGGAATTGAAATCCTCGACCTTGGCATTACAAGGCTGTGCTCTAACCAATTGAGATAACTGGTCAGCCCCATTTTCACTTTCACTTATTCAACTATTTTTACTTTTCTTAGTTTTACATTTTTTTCCTTTTTTTTAGCCCATGTATTAGAGTGTGTTGTTTAATCTCACTCTCTTTGGGGATCTTGTAGTCATTGCTCTGTTAGCGATTTCTAGTTTAATTCTTTTGNCCGCGCTTCCCAAGCGGCGCACCATCCAGTGCGCCACCGGGCCGGCCCGTGTTTCTAATACTTTGACTCTTATCAGTGGGATCATACAATACTTGTCATTTTGTAAGTGTCTTGTTTCACTTTGCATAATGTACTCAAGGTTCCATGTTATAGCAAATGTCAAGATTTCCTTTCTTCTTAAGATTAGATATTATTTCTTTGTATAGACCACATTTTATTTGTCCAATTTCTTTGTATGTATAGACCACATTTTATTTGTCCATTAATTCATGGCTGAACATTTGAGTTGCTTTCACCTTATTTCTTTGTATAGACCACATTTTATTTGTCCATTAATTCATGGCTGAACATTTGAGTTGCTTTCACCTCTTAACTCTGAGTAATGCTGCTGTGAGCACAGGTGTGGAAATATCTTTTTGGGATTCTGCTATTAATTATGTTGGGTATATTTGCAAAACTTGGATTTATGAATCCTATGGTAATTCTATTTTTAATTTTTTGAGAAGTCACTGTACTTTTTTAAAAAATAGGGGCTGAATCACTTTATATACTCACATAAAGCATACAAAGTTTCCAATTTTGCCAATACTTGTTATTTTCTATTAGGTGTGAAATGATACTTCATTGTGGTTTTTCACTTCTCTAGTGATTAATGATGTTAAGTGTCTTTTCATGAGCTTGTTAGACATTGGTATGTCATCTTTGTAGAAATGTCTGTTGAAGCCTTTTGCTTATTTTTTAATCAGATTATTTTGTTGTTTAGTTGTAGGTGTTTTTAAAATGTATTCTTGATGTTAATTTCTTATGAGGTAGATAATTTTTGACTTTTCTCTTTTTTGAGTTGCTAATGTGAATAGTATTGTGTTGTTTTAAATTTTACGTGGTCATTGCTGGGGTATAGAAAAGTGATTGACTTTTGTATATTAATGTTGTATCCTGCAACCTTGCTGTAATCAGTAATTAATTCCAGGAGGTTTTCTATTTACTTGCTAGGATATTTTATACAGATAACCATATCATCTGTAACTAACAACAATTTTATTTATTTATTTTCCAGTCTGTAAATCTTTTATTTCTTTGTGTTATTGCACTACCCAGTACTTTTAGTATGATGTTGAAGGAGTGATGAGGATACATTCTTGCTTTGTTTCTGATTATCTGGGAAAGCTTTGAGTTTCTCACCATTTAAGGGTAATGTTAGCTGCAGTTTCCTGTAGATAATCCTTATCAAGTTGTGATGTTCTTCTCTATTCCTAGTTTACTGAGAATTTTTATGATGAATCAGTGCTCTATTTTTTCAAATGCTGCTTCTGCATCTATGTGATTTTTTGTTTTTTCATGTTAGTGTTTTTGTTATCAGTTATGTTAATTGATGTTCATATGTTGAACCACCTTTGCTTACCTGGGATAAATACCCCTTGGTCATGATGCATAATTCTCTTTAGACATTGTTGGATTAGGCTTGCTCATATTTTATTGAGCTTATTTGCATGTATGTTCATGAGAGATAACAGTTTGTAGTTTTCTATTCTCATAATATCTTTGTCTGGTTTTGGTACTGAGGTAATGCTGTTCTCATACAATGAGCTGGGAAATACTTCATCTTCTATTCTCTGCAATAGATTGTAGGAAGGTGGTATATTTTCTTCCTTAAATGTTGGCTTCGGTTCTCCTGTGTACACATCTGGGCCAGGTGCTTTCTGTTTTGAACATTATTATTTTCTCAATTTTCATAAAAGATACAGGCCTATTCACATTGTGTATTTTTGTTTGTGTGAGTTTTGGTAAACTGTCCTTGAAGGAATTGGTCTGTTTCATGTAGGATGTCAAATGTGTGCAGAGTTGTTCATAGTATTTATTATTTGTTTAATGTCCACAGGATCTGTAGTGATGTGCTGTCATTCATTTCTCATATTAGTAATTTCTGTCTTGTGCTCTTATCTTTTTAGTTAGCCTGGCTATAGGCTTTTATTTTTTCTCCAGATTTTCATTTTCAATTTTATTTCTTTTCTAGTTTTTATTTTCTTCTGCTTCCTTTCAATGTAATTAGCTCTTTTTCCCCCTTTGTTTCCAAAGGCAGAAACATAGATTATTGATTTTAGATTTTTTTTAAAAAAAGTACACATTCAGTGTCATAAAAATTTGTGAGAACACTGTTATTTCTGTATCCTACAAAGTTTGGTGTCATTTTCTCTCTCTCTCTTTTTTTTTCTTCCAGTGGCTGTCCAGTATGGGAATTGAAATCCTCGACCTTGGCATTACAAGGCTGTGCTCTAACCAATTGAGATAACTGATCAGCCCCATTTTCACTTTCACTTATTCAACTATTTTTACTTTTCTTAGTTTTACATTTTTTTCCTTTTTTTAGCCCATGTATTAGAGTGTGTTGTTTAATCCCACTCTCTTTGGGGATCTTGTAGTCATTGCTCTGTTAGCGATTTCTAGTTTAATTCTTTTGTGGTCTGACAGCACATATTGTATGATTTCTATTATTGTAATTTTCCTAAAGTGTGTTATGTGAATCTGAATATGGTCTTCTTAGTGATTTTTTTTAATGTGAGTTTGAGAAGAATGTCTGTTCTGTTATTGTTGGAAGTACTTTATGTGAGTTTGAGAAGAATGTCTGTTCTGTTATTGTTGGAAGTACTTTGTAGATATCCATTATATCCAGATCATGTTACTGAGTTTAATTATGTCTTTTATGGCTTTCTGTCTGCTGAATTGGTTCATTTTTTGATAGAGGGTGTTGAAATCTCCAGTTTTGATGGTGGATTCTTCTATTTCTCCTTGAAGTTCTATTAGGTTTGGTGTCATGTAGTTTGATGATCTATTGTAAGGCACATACATATTAAGAAATGTCCTCTGGGAGAACTAACTCCTGTATTATGATGTAATGCCCCTTTTTCTTCCCCTCTATCCTGTGTTTAAAGATAAAGTGTTTCTGCAGATTCTGTACTTGTTCTTTTTTTACTTTCAACCTCAGGTTCATTCACTCTGATGTCTTCAGATAACATGGAAATTTTGATACTTTTCAAATCTTTGTTGTCAGCTTAACTTTCTCTCTTGAATGCTGGAATAATACATCCAATTGCCACTTGGACAATTCCACAGATATTTCAAGTGTTGTGTATTCAAGTCTGTTTCACTTTTGCTCTTTGTATTTTTGTCCCATTTTTCAAACTTTGTTTGCAGTTCCAGGACCTAACTAGCTGTACTTATGTAGATAGCCTGAGAGTAAAACTCTTCTTTTTAATTTCTGCACAGCAAATTACTATCATGTTCTGTTTCTGCTTTTTCATTCCTTGTTTCTTTTTTATAGTGTTGTCTCTCTTCTGTGTGCTTATTTCTCTATGTTGTAATGTAGTTGGTCTTCTGTCACCCTGTTTTCTTTTTCCTTCTGACTCTCTTTAAAAGCCTTTTCCATTCTCCTTGTAGTGGATGACTATTAAAATACAAATAAAGTTATGTACTTACAGGACCACATTATTTGCTCCATGTGGTTTAGAAAGTTGCAGTGTACAACCTGGTGTGGACACAAGCAATCCTTTGGCACATAGGAAGGAAATTTTGGAATGCCTTTTTAATGTACTTCTAATTCATAAGTTGTTAAAAAAAACAATTACATAAAATGTTTTACTGTTTGAAATAGGTCCCATATTTAAGTGAAGAATCATTCTATAATCAGTTGTTTCAATATTGCTTTTCCCTTATGCTGCCCAAGATCATTCACTCAGACATGGTGCTGTGTGTAGTTCCATTAATTTGGGGTGTGTTCTTTGTGTTCTTGTGACTGGACTTTTGCTGTTGCCTCATATTCATGAGACCATGCAGTTCACATGGAAGAGTTTAACATCTTTGGCATTTCAGTGAAGTGCAAACTGAATACAAAATAAAACTATATTTTCTATTTCTTTCTTATGCCAGTCTATATTGAACTTGTGTTTAAATTTGTTCATCTAACACAGTATTTCAGGTATGTATGTATGTATACTTATGCCTTCATGCCTGTTTATGCTCTCTTTGGAAGAGATAAATTTCATTAACACTTTTATCACTAGCAACAAGGATATTTCTTAAGGTATAAATTAATTGATAACTTATTACAGTGCCCAGATATTTGTCTTTTGATTTTTCTTCTTCCCATTCTGTGGAATACAACAAAGTGGCATCTTATATAAGATGCATACAGCACATGCACACACAGAGGTGTGAACTCCCAGGTTTCTGTTTTGTGACCCAGAAATGTTGACTTGAGAATAATGTGTCATTCCAGGACTTGGTATCATTTGAGGATGTGGCTGTGGACTTCACCTGGGAGGAGTGGCAGGACCTGAATGATGCTCAGAGAACTTTGTATAGAGATGTGATGCTGGAGACCTACAGCAACCTAATGTCACTGAGTGAGTAAAACTCCCCAATAACTTTCAGGAGAAACAGTTTCTTTTTTGTTCATAAATATAGGAATCATTTATAGGGTTTTATGCTGTTTTGGGAAGATTACATTTCTTGTAAAAGTGTGTTCTCTTTCTCATAAGGTTCAAATTGGTCTCTTTATCACACAACGTCTGAAGCTGAGCACTTGTCATTCTTCTGAGGATAAGACTTAGCAGTTTTACAATTACTTCCCATTAACAGAATACTTCATTAACAAAGCTGAGGTGATTGTCAACTTAGAAGAAGGAGCAGAGCCATGGACAATAGAATGCCCAAAGCAGATCCTGCAAGATTTGTCAGCACATATAGTGCAAAAGCCAAGAAAAGTAAAGCTCATTAGATATTGGCAGTGTTGAGCTGTTTCTAGCAATCTTTCCCGTAAGTCACAGATTTGAGGATGGCTCACCTGCAGTCCTGTATTACATAATGTCCAAGGTGGGGTGTCGCATGTACATTCCAATATTTTATTTGGCTGAATCTGTTTTGTATATCCCCCAAATCTATTTCCTAAATTTCTCTTCTTTGACATTTATTTTTCCTATTTGCTTTCTTAACATTTTCAGTTGTGCTTGTGTCTTCAGTTCTCATGTACATTTTTTATACTGTATCTGTTTGTTTTCTATTGTTTTTGACAGAATACCTGTAACTTATAAAGAAAAAAATCTTTTTCCTACAAGTCTGTTCTGGAGGCTCAGCATTCCAAGTTCAAGGGGTTGCATCTGGTGTAGGCCTTTGTTCTTGTGGGAACTCTTCACAGAATCCCAAAGTAGTGCAGCGTATCACATAGCAATTCACTGAGAATAGGAAAAGAGGTACAGCAGTGAGCCTTGTGCCACATCAAAAATCATGAATTTGAGGAGAACCCTGCATTGGATAATGAAAGGGGTTTCCATGATTTTGAAGGAAAACTGGAAGATTTTGGGTGCCAAGAGCATGTGAACTAAGGGTTCCATGTTGAGGGGATAAGATTGTTGATTGGGAGTGGTTTTCTGTTTTCTTCTTGGAAATTATTCAGAAAAAAAAACCAAAATGAGAAATGTGCAGGAGACTCATTTTATGAGAATAGAAGACCACCAAAACTTCACTACACAAAACAAATGATTTCACAAGAAATAAATTATCAAGTGGTGGTCCATGTACCAGAAATTGGGGATAGAGTGCAAGTTGATTTGAGAAGGAATCAGAAGAACATATTTCAAAGATGGTGGGAACAGCCTTGGATACAGAACCAAATATTTTAGAACAGAACTGGGTGTCTTGGGTGGAGAACTGTTGTTTCCTTTATTCTAATGGTTTATGAGAAGAAGAGGAAGTCAGGTTAAATGGAAAACTTGGAGGAAGCTATCTTTATCTAGGGTGGAGAAAAGGATATTTTATTCTTTGAAAAACTTCCATATTCCTGTAGCCATTTTCTAAGGAAGGAGTGTAAAGCATATAAACATAAATGCAAAATCCTTATCCTCAGCCTTGTTCCTGCATATGTGGTAAAAAGTGGCTTTCTGTACCTGAAAGTGGCTGATGATGGAAAATCTAGCCATCTTTTTTGTGAAATAATGAGAAAATAGCAGCAGGAGACACCATTGTTGTAAAAATGAAGCAGAGAAAATGGTGTAAATAAATGAAAGGTGCTTAGTTGAAAAGTACGTGTAGGCATAAAATAAAAATTCTTAACAAATATTTACTCATAAATTAAGATTTAAAAATGAACAGCAAAAGAAAGAAAAACATGATATAACATTAGAAAATAGTACAATATTACATTGTCAGTAAGAAAAAATTCCATAAACTCATGAAACCAACATCCGTTATTGATTTTTTAATAAAATCTTTTGTTACTAGGATTGGAAGGCAGTTCTGTACCTTTACTTGAGCAATCAATGAGATGTGCTTATGTGTGGTTCATTATGTTACTTTTTTCTCATTTCAGATGTCCAGATAGATGATGACCTCATGGAGAGGAAGCATGAAAGTCATAGTAGATGCTTGCAGCCAGTTGTAATCACCAACAGCAACACATCAGCTGAGGAGAGAGTTGTGTTAGGAAAATCCTTTTATTTGAACTCATATCATGTTTTAAATCAGATTATACATAATGGAAAGTATTCAGGAAAGGGAAATGAGTTTTACATATGTCAGAATGCTCTTCTTCCTAGAGAGCCTGATGAGATGCCTGCTGGAGAGAAATCTGATAATGATCATATAACTAGAAAATGGCCCAGACATCATGAGCATCTTAGTCAGCATCCCAATATTCAAACTGGGAAGCAGATTTTAGAATACAGTGGAAAAGGGAAATCCTCCAACACAGAGCCAATAATATTTACACATAAAAAGATTCATACGGATGAGACCACCTATAAGTATAACGAGTATGGGAAAGGTAAGTCACCTGTCATTGTCCAAGAAATAAATCAGGTAGAAAGGAAAACTCTTCAATGTGTTATATGTGGGAAAATGTTCTGTAAGAAGTCTGAACTCACTAAACATCAGATTACACACACAGGAGAGAAACACTATAAATATACTGAATGTGAGAAATCTTTTGCTAAGAAATTATACCTTACCTCACACCAGAGAACAGCTACACAGGAGAAGCTTTATGGTTGTAATGAACATGAGAAAAATTTTTGTCAGAAGTCAGACCTTACAGTGCATCAGGGAACTCACACAGGAGAAATGTATTATGGAAGCATTAGCTGTGGAAAAAGCTTCTGTGAGAATTCACTCCTCAGCCATTCTGAGAGAGTTCGCCCAGCTGAGAAACCATATGAATGTAGAGAATGTACAAAATTTTTCTACCATGTGTCAGCCCTCACCGTATATCAGAGAGTTCACACAAGTGAGAAACAACATAAAGAATATAAAAAAACATTTTACAGTAATAAATGTAAACCCTTTCTCCAGAAGTCACACTGCAACAGTCATCAGAGAACTCACACAGGTGAGAAACCATGTGAATGTAAGGAATGTGGAAAAGCTTTTAACCAAATGTCAAGCCTCAGCATTCATCCTAGAACTCACACAGGTGAGAAACCATATGAATGTAAAGAAAGCAGAAAATCTTTTAACCTAAAGTCAGATTTCAGCAGGCATGAGAGAATTCAAACACTTGAGAAACCATATGAATGTAGGGAATGTGGAAAAGCTTTTAACCAAAAGTTTTACTTAAGCATTCATCAGAGAACTCACACAGGTGAGAAACCATATGAATGTAAAGACTGTGGAAAAGCTTTTAGCCAAAAGTCAAGCCTCAGCATTCATCAGAGAACTCACACTGGTGAGAAACCATATGAATGTAAAGATTGTGGAAAAGCTTTTACCCACAAGTCATCCTTCAGCATTCATCAGAGAACTCACACAGGTGAGAAACCATATGAATGTAGAGAATGTGAAAAAACTTTTAAGCAAAAGTCACACCTCAGCATGCATCAGAGAACTCACACAGGTGAGAGACCATATGAATGTAAAGAATGCGGAAACGCTTTTAACCAGAAGTCACACCTGAGCAGGCATCAGAAAATTCATACAAGTGAAATACCAGATGTATGTGATGAACATATGAAATTTTTCTACCATGAGTCAGCCCTTGTATATCAGACAGTTCACACAAGTGAGAAATCACATAAAGAATATAAAAAAAATTTTTACAGTAATAAATGTGGTAAAACCTTTCTCCAAAAGTCACCCTGTAGCAGTCATCAGAGAATTCACACAGGTGAGAAACCATGTGAATTTAAGGAATGTGGAAAAACTTTTAACCAAAAGTCAAGCCTCACCATTCATCAGAGAACTCACACAGGTGAGAAACCATATGAATGTAAAGACTGCGGGAAAGCTTTTACCCACAAGTCAGGCATCAGAAAACATGAGAGAATTCACACAGGTGAGAAACCATATGAATGTAAAGAATGTGGAAAAGCTTTTAGCCAAAAGTCAAACCTCAGCATTCATCAGATAACTCACACAGGTGAGAAACCATATGAATGTGAAGAATGTGGAAAAGCTTTTAGCCAGAAGACAGGCCTCAGCAGGCATGAGGTAATTCATACAGGTGAGAAACCATATGAATGTAAAGACTGTGGAAAAGCTTTTACCCACAAGTCATCCTTCAGTAGGCATCAGAAAATGCATACATTTGAGAAGCCACATGAATGTAAAGACTGGACAAGCTTTTACCCACATGTCAGACATCAGGAAACAGAGAATTCACACAGGTCAGAAACCATATGAATGCAAAGAATGTGGAAAAGCTTAACCAAAAATCACACCTCAGCAGCCATCAAAGAATTTGCATAGATGGGAAAACATGTGAATGTAAGGAATGTGGGAAACAGTTTACTGGAACTCACTATAATAGACATGAACAAATTCACACATGGGAAAATCCTAATTCATGTAATGGCCATGGAAGAAGGTTTTGCCATAAATCACGTCACGTTTCATCAGAGAACTCACACCAAGAAGATGCCCTATAAATGCACAACTGTTCATTGGTATTGGAGGGTGGTTCCAGGAGCCTGTTGATGAAAACACTTGCAAATGATGATGCCCCTTCTATAAATGGTGTACTGTTTCAATATTACCTATGAGCTTTTTTCCATGTCCTTTACATGTTTAGTAGAATATGTTACTGAATACAGAAGAATTCCTTATAAATAGTTGTTATACTGTGTTGTTTTTAATTGTTAGAGTTTTTTTCTTTTTATTTTTATCGGTGGTTGAATCAGCAGATGTGCAACCCTCAGATATAGAAGGGGGGTCAGTAATTCTGAAAACGTCTTTTTTCAGCAGTTACAGGGCTGGCTACAGTTAGTGTATTGTTGGTTAGAGCATGATGCTGATAACACCATGGGTTCCTTGACTGGTCAGCCACGGGGGAAAAAGAAAGAAAGAAAAGTAAAGTAAAAAGAACTCACACTGCAGCAACCATGAAATAATTTACATGGGGGGAAATTCTGCATGGATGAGACTGGGTGTATATTTTCTAAAAACACCTTTTTTCTCTTGTACACATTCCTGCAATCTCAGCATCTAATTATTGTGTGTGGAACCATGTAATTTAGCTGTGTTCAGGGGAGTATGGATACAGGTTATAAACATTACTTCCAGGCCAGGCAATTCTAAAAGAAAAATGCCATTGTCCCTGATTTCTCATTCTTTGGGACTAAAGGGCAGATGACTCCTAGGGTAGAGTTAGGCCATAGGTGGGAAAAATTCACCCTAATTTAAGACAGACTGAAGAAATGATAGTTCTTTCCAACTCTATCCCCAAATCCTGTATTCATATTTTATGAAATGCTTACTATTGTTTGACATTTCATGTGTGATCTCTGTGTTCCGACACAAATAGCCCATTGTGGTAACTGACTTTATGAACTTTCTGAGAGAAGTTACCAGTTCTTGAATAGGAGAATATTCACACAGAAGAGAAACCTGTATTGTCACCTTTTACACCCAAGTCTGCTTATGGGAAAATTCAATTATGGGGAGAAACAGTGCAATACATATGGAACAACTTACCAGGCAGGGACTTCTCATTGAGCAGTGACACTAAGTTTATCTTTATCAGTATCTTTAATGTGTCAAAGCTTTCAACGTAACTTTCATTTTTATATATCAGATAATTTGAAATGAAAAACTTTATGTAATGTGAATGCAAATTTTCCAATAGAGTTGATAAATGTAGGATCAAAACTATTTAAAAAGTTTTGACTATCTAACAATAGTTAAATATGAGTGGTGATATTGCCTGCTGAGGGACATTTGGCTATGTCTGAAGACAGTTTTGTTGTCATAACGGAAAGTTAAAAGGTCTAGTAGAAAGAAGCCAGAGATGGTGCTACACAGCCTACAATGCACAAAACAGCCCCAAGTATGCTGCATTTATGCATATGAGTATTATTTGTTAAAAATTTATCTTGATAGAAGCCAGCACACCTACAGATAGGAAATACTTACACATAGGATAATAGCGACTTAGATCAGAATTTTTCATTATCCTATTATTCATTGTTACAAATCATACTTATTCTTTATGCCCCTTATCCAATCTCTACCCTTCCCCTTCCCCTCCCCTTTCTAGTCACCATAGATTTGTTCTATCCATCTGATAGATTAGCTGACCCTCTGTTGGTTTGTTGTGTAGATGATCTGTCCAGTACTGAGACAGACGTGATCAAGTCCTCCCATTGTCATAAATCAGATGCTTCTTTTACTCTGTAGTGTGCTTTTTGAAGAGAATGTTGTTGCTTTTTTTTTTTTTTTTTTTTTTTTTCCATTATCATAAATCAGATGCTTCTTTTACTCTGTAGTGTGCTTTGTGGAGAGTGTTGTTTTTTGTCTCCACTGGTGCCTCTCCTTGTGTCAGTGCAGTTGGGATTCTGGTGTATCATGCACAGTGGCTGTGACTGCTGCTATAGAGTGTAGCTGCTTTCGCAGTAGCCATGGCAATTGTGGTGGCTATGTGGGCTACCTGCATGAAAATGGTGTTTTTGGTATGCTCTGTACCTGATTGTGGATGTGTTCATCTTCCCCTGACTGCATGCCTTAGTACCCTGGTGTGGCCCAGGGTGGTGGTGGTGGCCTTCCTAGTTCCAGCTTGGTTCAGCTTTCCCTAGCTCCAGACCTCTGGACCCTAGCAGGGCCCAGACAGTGGCAGCTGCTTGCCCAGTCATGGCTGTGTTCAGCTTCCTCTGACTCCATGCCTCATTCTAAGATGTGGAGCAGCTGGGGAGGAGAAGGGGGAGGGGAAATAGGGTGGGAGGAGGGGGAATGAGGTGGATCATGATTGAAGCTCGTGGCCTCCATCATTCCTCCAGGGGAGGCCAGGGGGCTTCTAGCAGTGGCTGGGTTGTCACTGGGCTGCATGCAGATGTTGGGGGTGTGGTTCCAGCCCTTGGCCCCCAATTGCCCCAGCTCAGGAGCCTGGAGTGCTTCCTACAGCAGCTCACTGGTTGTCACTGGGCTGGTTTTGATGTCCAGGGGATGTGGCTGAGGCCGTTGACTCACCATTGCCCCAGCTTGGGAGACCAGGGCACTTTCTGTGGTGGCATGATGGTCATCACTGGGCTGGTTGCAGATGTTAGGGGGTGTGGCCAAGGCCCTCGGCCCTCCACTGTCCCAGCTTGGGATCCCAGGGCACTACCAGCATTTCCTCAGTGGTCATCAGTGGGCCGGTTATGGATTTTGGAGGGGCATAGCTGAAGCCCTTGGCACCCTACAGCCCTGGCTCAGGACCCCAAGGTGCTTCCTGCAGCAGCTTGGTGGTCATCATTGCACTCATGGATGTCAGGGGTGGTGGTGGTTGAGACCCTTGGTCCCCCATAGCCCCATCTCAGGGGCCAAGGGTGCTTCCTGTGATGGCTTGGTAGGATGCAGATGTTGGGGTGTGTGGCTGAGGCGCTTGGCCCCTCAATGCCCTGGCTCAGGGGCCCAGGATGCTTCCTGTGGAGGCTCAGTGGGTTATCACTAGGCTGGTTGTGGATGTTGGGTGGGCATGGCTGAGGCCCTTGGCCCTCCCACCTCCCTGGCTTTGGAGCCCAGGGGCTTCCAGTCCTTCTAGGTTTTATAGGTGTTCTTTGGTGGTCTTAGACATTGACTAGTAAAGATCAAGCTTTGTCTCTGATCTGAGGATATATATATTTTTTCTTCCAATTCTGTGTTGGATCACTCACTGTTCCCACCACTCAGACTCTGCACTGGAATTAATTTATTGTCTTTGGCTTACTTCTAAAATGGAGGAACTTCCCGTGGGGACCAGCACTTGAGCCCTGTGGTTTAGCTAAATTGCTGCTTTGCTGCTGATTCCCTGGGAAAGGCTTTCTGTGCAGCTCATTTAATGGTTGACCTTGTATGTACTTCCTGGTCTCATGAGGTCTGGTTCACCTGGGTTGTGTGGAGACTCTTGTCTGGGCCTGAGTCTTTTCAGCAAACTGCAACCCCAGAAATTTTATATTCCTGACCAGTCTACAGAGTGGTCCTGTGCTGACTGGAGCAGATCAGCTGTCTGTGCTGTGCACCAATGTTCCCCTGCTGGGCCATCTCCCCAGCTGCCCACACTCCAAACACTTCCCATAGGACAGACCATGCACAGGTTCCTTTTCATGACTCACTGGCCTCTTTGTGGTTACTTTTTCTGTTGTCTGTGGCTCCTCCTATATGGGTCCACAGAAACCCTGTTAGTTGTCTTGCTGGCCTGGGGGCCACTAAGTCCCTCTTCTCCCCTGCCAATTTTAAGCAACTTCATACAAAGGGCACAGCTGTGGCTTTTGACATTTCTCACTCCATGTGTTCACAAGCTCCAGCCTTAAAGTGGCTGGGGCTCAAAATGGTGGGAGTGATCCTTTCTTTCTCTCACTATGCCTTCTCCTGACTTCATGAACTCCATGGATCTGTCCTCCTCTTCCCCTGAGCTCTAGCAGCCCCAGCTTGGCTGTCATTGCTTTTTAATGGTTGTAAATTTGTTGATTTGCCAGACAGAGTGATGCTGGGGATCATCTATTCTGCCATCTTGAGTGGAAGGCTTACTTCAGAATTTTTGATATTAAATGCCTCTTTATATTTTGTTAAATTTATTGCCTAAAGTACTGTTGGGTCTGCCATCCGTCAACTCAAACAGCCCTAGCCTCATTATCAGTCTCTCCCTTGGTGGGCAAGCGAATTGCCCAGATTCCTCTTTCCCTCCGGTACCTGTTGGGAGGAGACGGGAGAAGAGAGCCATGAAGAGAGGCAAGCGCAGCCGCTGGCCCCAACCAGCCCGTTAAAGGACACTCAGACGCGGTGGGGATTCTGTCGAGCAGTTCCATTTATTATCACACAAGCACTTGCTTTTAAAGGCAAATGGGGAAGGGAGGTTTTTACATCCTTCAATCAGCTTAAAGTTTATGAGAGCATGCATCCTGTCTCAATGCCTAGCTATTGCAATAACACAGTGTTCACAAGCATGGAAACATGTACTTGGCCAACAAGGGCTAAGGCAAGGTTCACGCAGACACTCCCACCCTACTTCCTCCCGGTGCTGTCTTAGGCTGCCACGTTAATACACCCTTGTTGGCCCATAATGGCGCCGCTTGTAATGTCACTTAAGGTGGGGTTAGTTTTTAAGGCCCAACAAAGTACTTTGCTTCTTACCTTATTCCCACCCTCCTATTGTAGGTGATTTGTAGGAAATTTGTATGGCCATTATTACAAAACTCTCTCAAGTAAATGTATTTTTTTCTTATGCCTTCTCCTGACTTCATGAACTCCATGGATCTGTCCTCCTCTTCCCCTGAGCTCTAGCAGCCCCAGCTTGGCTGTCATTGCTTTTTAATGGTTGTAAATTTGTTGATTTGCCAGACAGAGTGATGCTGGGGATCATCTATTCTGCCATCTTGAGTGGAAGGCTTACTTCAGAATTT